CTCCTCTCAGGACTGTGTGGGCATGGACAGACTGTGCTTCACTGACATCTCTCTGACTCACCTGCTTGTTTACTGCATGTGTAATAGGGGCAAGACAACACTCTGAGGCCTCTGAGGTCAGAGTAAGAAAAGCACAGATGAAACTAATAACATTAATGGATTCTCTGTTCCATTCAGGTGTTGCACTAATGACAGCGTGACAGTGAAAACAGGTATATTCAACTTAAGTTTCTCTTCACATAGTTATCTCTCTGGTAATGTAGACATTAGATAATGTAATCAACTTGTAAATAAACATAACAAATGATTTTTATTTACTTCGACAATCTGATGCAAAATTCACTCAAAGAAAGAAAGAAAAAGAAAAATGTTTCCTCTATTGCCCTTCCTGCACTATTAGCAGTACAGAGCTGGGCTTCTGGGGCTCCGGCCCTAAATGTTTGCTAAAACGCTCCAAATCTATGCTATCCCCTAAAGCCTGGGTCTTCAACATGGGGTCCACAACACCTAGGGGGTCCTCAGAGTAAATGCAGGGGGGTACCAAATTATTTTTGATAATTTATATCATTAGATAATATTAATCGGCCTATTAATTAAAAAAAAAAAAAATTTACAGTATGTAACAATAATGATAGGCTAACTCCTACCCATGAATCCTTGTGCAATAACGTGAGCTAGCTAATGCTAATCACAGTGCAGCACTTATAACAGCAAAGTGAACTGGTTAGCTAACATTTAATGTAATATACCAGCCAATTAGCTGTGTTATTATTCTAAGTGTATGGACATCCTTGTGAGCCACAGTGGATCGTTTAGTAACTTTTTAAGCAAGAGACTCTGACACACTGTCCTCCTTAGAAACTGCTGGCAAAAGTTCAGAAGGTGACGCTAATGCACCTAGCCATGCTACAACTGCTGCTGATTTAGATGCTACAGGCAAGCGAAAATGAAAGATAACCAAAAAATACTCAGAGAATTATCTTAAGTGTAACTCATTATTATGCAATATATGTAATAGAAAGTCACTGCTCTGTCTCTCTTTGAGCTAAGGGGTCCTTGGCCTCAAAAACATTAAAGACCCCTGCCTTAAAGAAATCGAGTAGCATATTCAGTTCAGAGTATTGAAGACTGCATTTTGTTGGCATTGTTGGGGATTCTGGATTTGCAGTAAGAGCATCCCAGAATATTATTGTGTGGATTTAAATTAACAGATTTTGTGCTTAACACTCTGTGAACTTCAGCGTAAAAAACAGTAATGTTAGACCATTTTTGCCTCTTTTTAGATGGCAGGAGTTGAAAATGAGTCATCTTCAATATTTGTTGTACTAAGGTTTCAGAATGATGAAGGCAGTTGGAGAACAATTACATACAAAAGTTGATGTAGGTCTGTAGGTCTAGGTAGGTTTGCAGTTTTTTAGGCATTCCGTTTTCTCAAACGGTTCAATAAAATAGTACATATAGCTGCTGTAAGTGGGGGAAAAAAAATCTTGTGTGGTCGAGCACTGCCCCTGAGTGCCCCTAGATTTGGGCTGAGCCCCAGATGGTTACAGTTGGCTGGCTTCGCCCCTGCAGAAGTTAAATTTACACTGCGCTTTTATTTATGTAAGTCTGGTAATGTGGATATATAGTACATTGTTCCAGGTTTCCTTTGCTCATAACATCACTGTATATGTTTTTTTTCAGACCTAGAGTGATCTTACAAAGAACTTAACAGAGATTTATCTATCAACAATACTGACAGGCAAAATGCAAACACAGGCACAAGAATTACAAACTTATTTACATACTCTTATTTTCTCTTTCAGCCCCACTTCGTGTCAGTCTCTGTCTCATTTTCACTCACAACCACACACATGAATTAATTACACATGCTCTGTCAATCAACCATGCGACTCAGCTTGGCCTTTGGAGTTAAAGAAGGACAGTTTATCCAGGTACGTCAGGGCCTTGCAGGTCACCAGGCCATAGTAGGTCTGTAACAGTGAGCATCCACCACCCTTTTGTCCCAGGTCTGCCCACACTGTATCTAGTTCATGGCTTTCCATTCCTGCTGAGCTGAACAGGTAGCGGTAACAGCAGGTGTTGTAGCGGATATGTTTCTCTCCTGTGAACCTGGCACTGTGGGTTGGTGCCACACCAGCCCTCTGAGCACAAAGGCCCACAAAAACATCAGCTGGCACAGGTGCACGGACAGCTGCAGAGGCTACATACACTTTTCGGACCACATCCTGGGATAGAACGTAAGCCGTCCCGTCACAGTATTCAGGCAGGTACTTGTCAGGGTAGAGAGCTGGAGGCAGGTAGCCGGGACTGTTGGAGTCCCTGTTAGGGGACTCTCTCTGGATCACCCTACCTAAATAAAGGTCTTCAGGGTGCCTGTGCAGCCCGAGTAGGTAGCCTCCGAGAGCAGGAAGGTTGACAAACACAGAATCCTTGGTCAGCAGAACAAAGCGTGCCAAGGGACAGAAGGCGATCACCCAGCGCAGCGCCAACACTGTCCTTTCTGTTAGACCACGGAGGGACGAGTCAGCCACAGCATGGCCCTGGACCATGTCCCCATGAAGGTCAGACTCCACCATGAGGGCCTTTTGTGCATCAGCAGTCTCAGCTGATCCCAAGAAAAACAGTATCCGCACTGGGAAGCCTTGGGTGAGTGTTTGGTTGCCCCATGTCCTCCTGACTGCATCTCTTTGGGTGACATTAGCTGTGGAGCTGAAGACGATAGTGAGGAGGAAGAGGTCAGAGTTTCTGCAGGCATCAGGGTTAGTGATCGGGTAGGCCTGGGACACGTTCTCCCTGGCGTTGCTCAGGTCTAGTTTCCTTGCTTTCTCTCTCACTTCAACAACCATGCCATCAGTGTAGACCCCAGGCGTGGGCTGCAGGAGGTACTCTTCGACAAAGTCTGCCCCAAACAACAGGGCATGGAAGAGGATGATGTTGAAGAGGAGGAAACACCACTGGTGGGTACGCAGCTTGCACAGATAGCACTGGAGCATGAGACAGAAGACAGAGTATGAATCACCATAAACGTAGCCAACTGAATCATTATACATAAATGCAAATAACCGAGACTGTACCTGCATGACACCTGAGTTAACAGCCTTGTTGTTTCTCTGTGTGTATTAGTTGCCCAGAGGACCTCCCGCTGCAGTCACCTCAACAACAATAGTTGCTGACAGACAGGGTTTCCACTTTCATGAAACTCTAGCAGCATGTAACCCTGCACCCCAACCCCAAGTCACATGCCTAATCAAGAGGAGTGTATTCTGCACCATGCATACAACATTAATGATACAGAAAAGAAACTGTTTGATCATACCACAAGGACAGTGAGGATCCCCTCCAGATATGTTTAAAGTCTGTATCTGCATATGTTTTACTCTGATTTCATTTGAATATTGAATGTGAAAATGCCCCTCTAGTGTCACATGCTGCAAAGGCTACATCAAACATACTGTAAACTTTCCCAGCTGGGGACAGTTTATTGTTTGAATGAAATGAATTGTACAGTTATGTTAAGGTTCAATTGCAAGCTCAAGTTTGGGTTAAAGTTGTGTAGCCCTTTAGTAAAACATAAGACAATTTATGAAGCAATTATGATTACACAAAAAAGACTCATTCTTGTTTTCATTTCTCATAGGCAAAACCAGTTGGACAGTAATATGACTTCTCATTCAGTGAGCTTGCAAAAGGTTCATAACTCACTGCAGAAATTGTAAAGTTTTTCTGCTGGAAAAAAATGGCAACATACAAACAACAAAATGCTTCAGAGTGATGCAGAAGCATGTAACAAGCAGAAGTGTGGCCTTTCTGAATTAATGCAGGATGCTGTAACATTTCTGGAGGCCTGGAATGAAAATGGAATGTGAAAAATGAAAGAGGGAAATCAGGAAGGTAGGAGTGGAAAAATTCCATTTAAAACATGTATTTGACATTGATGTAGGTAAACTGTTTTACTACCCGAAAGAAAATGGACTAATAAAGAGAATTTAGTTTTTTTTTGTTTGGTCCACACTCCAACATAGTACTTGGCGGTAATGCACCTTAACGCTGATTGCCACCCGCCATAAAACCTACAAGTAGAAGAAGAAGACCAGCCATGGCGGCTTCAGCTGAATAAAATTCAGGCTCAAGCTCTGAGGCAGTGTTGTGGAGCAGTAAGAACAACCTCCATCCCAGCCCTGCAAGTTCTAGGGAAAGAGATCCCACTGGACAAAAGGAGAAAACAGTTAATGACCAACTACTGTGGTGGTCTCAAGGGGCACCAGGGCAACACCCCACAAAGATCCAGAGCAGCAAACCATAGGTGAGGGTTGGGACGTACATGGACCAGTAAATAGAAAGCATCGCCTTCCAGCTCAGCTCCCTCTTCACCACGACGGACAAAGTATACATATTGAATTTATGTGGGTTCCAGCACATGCAGGTTTAAAGGGTAATGAGGAGGTGGATAAACTGGCTAAAACAAGTGCTACAAAAAGACACCATAAATATACACATTTCATTAGGTAAATCAGAGATCAAGGCGATAATCTGGAATAAGTCAATGGAAGAATGTCAGGGGAGGTGGAACAATGAAACAAGGGGGAGATTTTTATAGTTTTATCAGTAGTGTAAAGTCAACAGTCAGGAGTATAAGAAAGACAAGGGGGGAGGAGATAATTTGCAACAGGATTAAATTAGGCCATTACAATGTAAACAGCACACTCAGCAAAACAGGAAAACACTCAACCGGTTTATGTGAACACTGTCACCCAGAGGATGCACCCAGGAAAAACAGCTTATAAAGGAAGAGTTGAGACAGATTGGAGTACATGAAATTAATTATTAAAACTTAAATGAATCTGCTAAGTGGTCTGAGTGTTTTTTGTTTTATTTATTAGACTTACTGGATTATACAATAGAATTTAGTGATCCACACTCCGGAGCAGAAGGTGGCGGTAATGCACCTAACACGCTGGTTGCAACCCGCCATAAAACGTAAGCGAAGAAGAAGGAGGAGAAGTTCAGTCATGGCGGCATCTATTGAGAGTTTGTTGGCAGGACTCTCTGGTATTGATGATCCAATTGAAGAGCTTCAGAGTTTGAAAACAGCTTTATTGGCGATACCCGTCAACGCTTTGAGAGACTCAGTGAGCGGACAGCGCTTCAATGTGATTTTCACCCTGCTGAACTCAAATGACAGGTTGGTTTGACATGATGCATCTTGCTCACAGTTTAGCAAGGTGGTGGGTGTGAACCTTATTTACACAGTTTGTGGTGTAAACTGCTGAGTCAGTCCGCTGTCCGTTGTTATTATCAGTATCGTCAGCAGTTATTTAAACAATATGTGGATTTTCAGGTAGTGTAAGTTAGATAGGTTAGCTAAAAGGCTGCATTTTACCTCTGCTAGTTGTGTTAGCAAGCTAACTGGTTAGCCTACAATGCTAACAACAATATGTAGTGCAGACGTGGACAGTGTCACATTTTCATTGTCGTGTAACTGTAGAAACTGGGTCTAAAATGAAAATTTCAGTACTGACTTTAACGTTTAGGGTGTTTTGAAGATGTCCATAAGGCAAAGATTGATGCTTTTTTTAGGCACAGTCCCCCAAACCCATTTTTGGATGGTACACCTGCAGTCAGACAGCAGGCTCGTTAGAAATGAACTGCCTGGAAAGTGGACGAGATCAGGCTGCATATCTGCATTGGTGCATTATCCTGCTGGGGGGCCACTGCCATTGGGGGGTACTGTAGCCATGAGGGGGGGTACTTGGTCTGCAACAGTGTTTGAGTGGGTGGAACATGTCAGGTGGTATCCACATGATTGCCAGAATCAAAGGTTTCCCAGCTGATCAATGCATTGGAACAAAATAATCAAAGTTATCCACTTCACCTGTCAGTGGTTTTAATGTTTTGGCTGATTGGTGTATATATCCATTTGTTCTGTTACAGCCTGGGTCAAGGGAAGGACAGTGCAGTGGACTAAGCTTGTGATCAGCTTCACTGTCTTTTCAAAGATGGACATTCCTTTTTTCAATGCCAGACTTTTTACAATAATTACTAATACTGTCATTTTTCACATAAGCGTCTGTATCTTGCTGGAGAAAAGCTGAATCCAAACTCTAACGAGCCCTGTCAGCTATAGCTTCTGGACCACAGACACCCTGTTAATGACCACCAAAGATGCATTTTTGTGCCAATACATATTCATCTGCAGGGACAGCAGCATTATTTGGAGTTGTTGCCTTACGATCATTGATGTATGAGGCGATATAGCTGGGTAAGGAGTGCTTGAACTGTTCCAGAACAACCAGGTTGCACAGTTCTTCAAATGAACCGACACTGGATGCAGAACACCAGCGACTGGACTGCATAACCAAATCCCTAGCAAATTCCATGTGTTCTGGGTCTTTGTCATTGAATTTTGGCAGCAGCTTTAAATAACTGGCAACATCAAATCGAGCAGCAGAGGGTGTACTAGCAGCTGAAGACTGATCAGTCAACTCACTGACTGACATTTTACCTTTCTTTATCAAGTTTACATTGCTCTATCTTCAATTTTTCTCAGTTTTTTTTTATTTCATCACTTCCTGCTCTGTTTGTTGTTTCACTCCTTCAGCTTCTAATTCACTCTGCTGTATACATTTTTCATGCTGCATCTGCATCATCAATAGCTCTTTTTGCTGCTCAAATGTTAAGTTTGTTGTGGAAGACATAGACACACTGGGCAATTCCTTAGGTTTTTCACTCACCAAACCCCCTCTTCCATCAGATTGGCTTTCAGCATGCTTTTCATAGTGTCCTTCAGACGATTTGCCCCTATTTCAATTAGGGATGCAATGATTAGTCGTCTAATCAATGACTAATTGACTGTTACTATAATCGGTGAGTAGTCGACTAATCGGTTTGAGTCATTTTTCATAGAAAAGTACTATAAAAGTACCCCAAAATACTCTTATTGCAGCTTGTTACGTTCAAATATTGGTGGCTTTACACACTCTCCCATGACAGTGAACTAAAACCCTTCGGCGTGAGTACGAAACAAGACATTAGATGACATCATTTTGATGTTTGGGAGAGACAGACCAACATTTTTCACCATTTCAACACATTTTTCGATAAAATGATTAGTCGACTAATCGAAGAAATAATCGACAGATTAGTCGACAATGAAAATAATCGTTAGTTGCAGCCCTAATTTCAATGTTATAATGGTCAGCAGTCTTTAACAATTGTTCTTTTGTACACTGTTACAACAATGTTTGTGAAGGCTCCTGAATGAAACACTCCACAATAGACGTAATGATACCCTACCTTAGTTCAGAGTTCACCAACTTTAGATATACATGAGCCTACAAAAAGTGCCTTTACCCAGACCAAACCAATCACAGGTGGCCAACACACTGGAGTCTGTCCTCTCCAAAGTCACTAATATACCTATCTAACTGACTAAGGACACTCATTCCTAGTCTTCGTGCAGTTACAGGTGAGGGGTATTTATTCACTGTAAACCAGCGGGACTGGAAAGCACCTGCTATGCAGCCACTTCCAGAAACCCATGGATGTGATCCGAGCATATAGCTCTACTCACATTCACCACCACATTAAACCCACAAAACTGCAGCAAGCTCTCTAGTAGAACTTATTGCTAAGCCTATCAGACTTAGCACCTACTGAACAAACAATCAATCCAATAACCCCAGTGTGTCAACAAAAGGACTAGACCAAAGCTCTCTACAAGTTAACATGTGTGCCACTCTCCAACAATCTTTTATTTTGTACAGATTAACCGAGTAAGTAAACACCATATAACCTATTAAAATGCTTTACAGGTGATTAGCAATGTATATTCATGGATCAACCTAGATTTTGCACAAATTCTTTTTAGTACTTCAATAATTAAAACAATCCAATGTTAATATACAGTAGACTATGTATAGTTTATGATGAATGTATTTAGTCTCTCTGACTACCAAATGTCACCATCAGTCACACAACATGTTTTCTGTAAACCTTCAAATCAGACAAATAACATCTAAATCTCTCTCTAAAAAAAAAAAGAGCCAGGTGTTTCCCATCATGCCCTGGGTCTTGCAGTCAGTGGAGAGCAACTGCAGTGCCTGGCTCCAAAAACTGCAGCCACCTCGATCTTGCAAGATTATCGCTGTCCACTTTTGTATTTCGTCAGAGTAAGTCAGGATGATGTTGGACACAAATCTAACTGGCATGGACTGTGCAGCAATCAGCGGTGATTCAGTCTGTCCAGGTCTGGCTCACCTATAACGAGTCTAATGTTGGCTGCTACAGTGTTTAGTCCTATTGTGAAAGAGCTGAAAATAACTGTGGCATTTAAACAACACAGTCGTATAACATTTTATACATTTTACAGACCAAAAGATTAATTAGAGTTGCAGCCATGTTACTAATGTGAGCTGTGTTCACAGGGAGCAGGTTGAGCTGTGTGTGGACATCCTTGAACACATCTTAATGGCCCTCAGCCCTGTATCCCTGGCTCAGAACTACAGAGTGGAGCTGCAGGGGGGTCTGACTCATCCTAATGAAGCGGTTAAGATCCTGGCTTTGACACAGGTAGGCTGCTCGCACACAGCACGCCCACACACAGACGCACAATTGCCTTGAAACCACTGACCTTGTTTTATGTTTTTCTCTGTCAGATTGGCAGAATGGTGGAGCACCCCGACGCTACCACTGAAATCCTCAACAACCACGACATTCTTGAGGCGGTGATCCGCTGCATCGGAGAAGAGAAGTTGGCCGTGGCAAAGCAGGTGATGACTGAAGCACTGGAATATCCTGTGTGAGAGATAATGAATCACAGTTGGTGCTGTTGCAGTAATTGTTGTGTTTTTTTAGGCCATCCAGTCCTTGTCTAAACTGAGTCACTCCAAGCCTGGGTTAGACAAATTGTTCCACACTGACCTGCTGACTGTTATGAAGGATGTGATGGCCAAAAGTGACACTATCAGATACAGAATATATGAGGTACATTCACTGTGTGCTACTTTGGGTTACTTTGTTGCTGATAATGCAAAAGTGGCAACTGTTTTTTTGTATGTTTGACATAGGATTCTTTTTAATGCACATTTGTTTTTGATGGAATCAGTGGAAAACATGACTCATCATAAGAAATCATGCCAGAGTGAGGGCAGATATATCAGTTTGTAATGCATTTTCATATACGCACATAAAACTAATTTTGATACCTAATAAAGTCTTCTTGCTTCTTGCAGCTGGTGGTGGAAATCTCGTCTGTGTCTCCCATTTCCCTCGGTTACTGTGCCAACAGCAGCTTAATTTCTCAGCTGCTCGGAGAACTGACAGGAGATGATATACTGATCAGGTAAAAACATAAGTCATATACATACAGAGTCAACAAGTGAGAAATTATGTGAAAAATAAAATGTAAGAGTTGCTGTATTGTAATGCAAGTTTGCCTGACTGCTTGTGTTTTTAGTTTTGTATAATGCTGTGAATTTGCATTTGTTGTTGTCTTTTTCTCCAGAGCCACAGCCATTGAGATGGTGACCACTCTAGCCCACAGTCAGCATGGCCGGCAGTATTTGGCCCAGCAGGGTATAATGGACAAGATCTCCAACATGATCAGGGGAGCGGAGACTGACCCTCTCTCCTCCCTCTACATTCCCGGTGAGTCTCTAGAAAACTGCTCTAAGAAAACACAGAAGTATTACGTTTAGGTGGCGTATTCCTTTATTTAATACAACAGTTCAATGCTGCATTATTCAGTCCTTTACAGTGTGATTATTACTCCTGTAGGTTTGGTGAAGTTCTTTGGAAACCTGGCCATTATGGACAGCCCACAGCAGGTTTGTGAAACCTATCCGATCTTCCAGAACAAGGTGTTTGAGATGGCTTTGGACCCTGACCCTGCGATGATCGGCGTGGCTCTGGACACCCTGGGGTTAGTCGGATAGACTGTGGAGGGAAAGCAGGTCTTTGAGAAAACAGGTTAGCTTGTTCTGTGTTTTATTTGATAAAAGCCAAAGGTGCTAAGGGAGCCACGGCTCCTCTGAGAATGTTAATGTCTCTTGTAATTATTGCTGATGTTTTTGGATCTTTGTGACTGATTCTCTGTGTGTCTTCAGGAGAAAAGTTCAAGGCTGTGTTGACAAGAATGAGCCAGCTTGCCAGCTCTGGAGCTACAGAGCTCAGAGTGCGCAGTTTGGACGCCATATCCCAGCTTCTCACTCTACAGGTATGTGTGTGCACACATTAGGAATATGCATTGTCATTGTCTTTTTAATGAATGTCAGCTCATGAATCTGTAACGTTTTATTGCAGCCAGAGCAGCAGACAGAAGACCTCTTGGCCCTGACAGAGTCCTGGTTCCACCTTTTGTCTAAGCAGCCCATGGACATGATCAGCAACATCAGCACTCAGCCGTTCCCAGAGCTGCACTGTGGGGCTCTGCGGATATTCTCTGTGAGTGCTCAGCTGTGTCTAACTTCCATCAAACCCTCTCTGTGTTACTGACCTTGTGATAACCTGTAAAAGAGATCAGCATCACCCCAGTAGTGTTTGTATCTTCATCACTGGATATCTGTGTGTGTGGTATTTTTTCCAGGCCATTGCCTCTCAGCCGTGGGGTCAGAAGTTAATGATCAACACACCCAGTTTCATGGAGTTCATTCTGGATCGTTCAACGGGTCAGACGAAGGAGGACAAAGATGCAAAGTTTGAACTGGTGGGGACACTTGTGTGTTCATCCACAGCAGCAGAGATACTGGGCAGCCAGCATTACATCCGTCTGAAGACGTATCTCAGAGAGGGACCTTACTATGTGTCAGCTGTGTCCATAGTCAGCACAGAGGGAGCTGAGTGAATCAAATAAACTCCGATACACTTGATGAGTTTCTGGTTAATGCTTAAGTAATGGGTAAGTGCCTGAATAATCTAACTGTGGGTTAACATACTCTGCTGTAATAAACTCATTCTCTGATGAACACACAAACGGATTTAACAAATCGGTACATGGTGCTCAGTTGATTTAAACTTCCTGAATCTTTCAACATAAATTGGCTGGTAAAGGATGGTTTAAGTATTTTGCTTCTGTCCGACTCCCTTTTGAGTAGCTTTATAAACATATGGCTTATTCATTTGGGCAGACTTTGTTTTTGGTCATATTAAGTCACTACAGCTATAAATATACATACAGTAGGGTGGCAAGTAAAGTATCGAAATATAAGAGTAAAGACACAAAATCCATGTACCTTAAAGGGGCACTCCATTGGTTTATACATCAAGTTCAGTTTATTTATTTATTTATTTATTAGAGATAAGGATTACTACTCAGCCTGTGAAAAATTTTCTAATGTCATCTGGGCTATCTCAGTTTCAGCCAAAAGGCGATCTCTGGGGCTAAAAAAATGAAGCCATCAGGAAAGTGCCAAAAACTGCAGTTCCTCTTGAGGCTGGCTCCAAAAGGGAGTCAATCTTGATAGACCCCTATTATAACATGCCCAACTCAACAGCAAAAATAAACATCTTTACAGCTTGGTACAATAAACAGCTTTGATCTCTATAGCTGATTTCCCCCTCCATGACAACTGCACAGGGGGTGAATTCTTAAATAACGCATCCATTTACTTAATGTTAAAAGATTCAGGAAGTTTTAATCACCCCTCGCTCCTCCAAATATGGTCATTTCTGGCTCCAAAAAATGATCTGAAAGCCTGTGTTACAAACTGGTTGTTTGGAGTTTGACAGACTTGGTTCTAATGGAAGATGCTGTTGAGTTGCATTATGGGAAATGAAGGATCCAGTGTGTTTGAAGTTTAGTCCATGTTAAGGACTAGAAATCAGCTGCTTTGATTTTCTCATGTGTTTTTTTTTTTTTGCACTAAAGCATCATAATGCTATAACTGCACATGCAGAGCCACCATTATAAGATAATAGATCACATTATCTCCACATCATATGACAAGAAGTCAGGACGATCCCCATGATATGTTAACACATGTTTAGCCACTGAGTCTTTGCCGGCTACTTAAGCAATAATTAGAGAGGCTTAAAAGATTTAAAAATATGCAGTCAAATGTTGACTTATGCACTAAAATACACATCATTTGCAAAATCTTTCAAATCTCATTAATCACAAACCCAAATCTCTCAGACATTGATTAAAGTTTTCCATTTCAAAAATGTTTATGTTTGCTAAATGGGCTTTGTTTTTTGTAATAAAGAAGATTCATTCTGACAACAGATTTTTGCTTGTTTCATACTGTGCACAAGAGGCACTAGATTAAATCAACTTTATGTTATGATGTGGGAGATTAAATACAGAAATCTATTTTTGAGCACCACTAAAACTCTATTCTCACCAGTGTCAGATAACTTAAATATCTTGTGACAATATTTAATTAAACCTGAGTGGTTATTTTGAAGCTACAGTGTCCTGTGAGGACAAAAAATATCAAGGAACATTTTCATCAGCATGAATCTGCTCTGATCTTATCAATGCAAATAAATGTTTTCACAGAGGGTTTTTTTTTGACTCAAACCATGGGTAATTAAACCCACACATTTAGTATGTTTTACTTTAATCATTTAAGACATGAAACGATTCTTCTTGTCAGTGACCTTTTGTTATCTTCAGATGTTACTCCAACATGTGAGGTGATTTTTAATTGATGCACTCATGGCATATAAACTGTGTGAAGTCAGTGATATGAAGAGTATATAATTAGCAGACACAGTTAACCATCTTTGGGTCTGACTGAATTTTAGATTCAACTGGTGGTCTTTGTCATCTCCACTAGAGGGCAACAGTGCAGCTATCAGACAGTCTGTCACAGGGTGTCGAACTCATTTAAGTTCAGGGGCCACATACAGCCCAATTTGATCCCAAGTGGGCCGGACCATATTTTTCAGTGTTTTATATCTTTTTTTTTTTATTTATATATAAATATGACCACACTAAGTATTGTTATTTCAGAGAGCTGTATTCTGGTCAGGGTGAAAAGCCTCTGAGGCAGCATTTTACATCAAGTATCTACTCATTGTTTAAATTGCTCCTGAAACTTCTCAGCCTTCACAAGTGCATCAGTATTAATGGTGCTAAGTCATCTAGAGGGCCAGTCGGACCCTTTGGGGTATGTTTGACACCCCTGGTCTATCAGATGTCAGGCCATGTCTCACAATCCAGTTTCAGATTATTAATACTTATTTGAAGTACTCAGATAATTTAAGTATAAGTAATAATAACATAGTGACATCACTTTAAGTTAAATGATGCTCAAAATTCTATTTAAAAGGTACAGAAGTGCCACACTGGGTTCAATTTAATTGGGCTTTAATGTGCTGTAATTACTTTGTTTTTAATGTTGTGTAGCAATGTAAACTCAATACCCCATAATAACAAGGCAAAACCAAATTTCTTTTTTGCAAATTTATTAAAATAGAAAAAAGACTTATCACATTGACCTATATATTTACACCTTTAACTCAAGCACCTTTGGCAGTGATTATAGCCTCAGATCTTGGGTATGAAGAGCCCTGGATTTGGGGATTTGCTGCCGATCCTCCAGGCTCTGGCTTGGTTCCCCAAGGACATTCATAGAGTTGTCCCTGAGCTACTCCTGCTTTGTTTGGGCTGTATGCTCAGGGTCATTGTCTGGTTTGAAGATGAACCTTTAGCCCAGTCTGAGCACTATGGACCATGTTTCCTGTAAGGACGTCTCTAGACCTTGCTCCTTTCAGCTTTTCCTCAACCCTGACCAGACCTCCAGTCCCTGCTGCTGACAAACACCCCCAGAGCATGACGCTCACCATGCTTCACCATCGGCATGGTATTGGGCAGGTGATAAGGGGTGCCTGGTTTCCTCCAGATATGATGCTTAGAACTGAGGCCAGACAGTTCAATCTCTGTTTCATCAAACCACAGTCTGAGAGTCCTGTAGGTGCATTGTTTGGCCGCAAACTCCAGTAGGCTTTTATATGTCTTTCTCTGAAGAGAGGCTTCTGTTTGGCCACTCTGCCATAAAGCCCATATAGGCAGACAATTGTCCTTCTGCAAGATTTTACCATCTCCACACATGATCTCTGGGGCTCAGCCAGAGTGACCCTTTTCCTGCAATTGCTCAGTTTGTCCAGGGAGACAGCTCTTGGGAGAGTGCTGGGCTGGTTTTTCCAAACCTCTCCCATTTAAGAACTGTGCTCTCTGGAACCTTAAGATATTTTTTGTTGCCTTTCCCAGATCTGTGCCTCTCAGAAATCCTGTCTCTAAAGCTTTGCAGGCCAGTCCTTCAACCTCTTAGCTTGTTTTTTTTGCTCTGATATGCACTGTCAGCTGTAGGACCTTACATTGACAGGTGTGTGCCTTTTTTAAATCATCCAATCAGTTGAATTTGCCACAGGTGGACTCCAAGCAAGGTGTAGAAACATCTTAAAGATGATGAAGAGAAATGGGATGCACCTGAGCTAAACTTCAGGTGTCATAACAAAGGGGGTAAATACATTTAATCTTTCAGTTTTTTCCTTTTCAATGCATTTGCACAACTTTCTTAAACCCTGTTTTCATTTCACCATTAAGGGAAAGTGGATTGATGAGGGGTAAAATTATTTAAATAATTTTAGCACACGGCTGAAATATAACAAAATGTGAAAAAAGTGAAGGGGTCTGATACTTTTTTATTGCACTACATTTCAACCATTTTTCTGTGAATTTTCCACAGGTATCATCTGTAATTAGCAATCACTTAAGGTTCTTTTTTATTTATATAGTGATATTAATACATTAATTAAACATATTTTTAAGTGTATTTGGATGTTAATACATTTGTATTTACTTAGTTTTACATTACAGAGGCATGGCTTAAACGTGGCATTGATCTATATGAACATAGTCATATTTATTCCTTTAATCTGCTTACAAAAGCCAACGCCTTCACAGCACAACCACCCCGGTTGGGATAATCCCAAAGCTGTGGCTTCTCTCCTCTCCAGCAGCAGCAAAAAAGACTTCCCACTCCAGTCATAGCGACTGACTCAATCCCAAACATCCATCATAATCTTAAAACTCTTAAACAACCTCATGTCACCATCACCCCAGTGAATCATATCACCTCTCCCACGTCTCCTCCGTACTTGCTCCAGTTTGCGTCATCAAATAAACAAAAAATAAATAAACATCCAGTCAGTCAGTCAATCTTTTTTTCTTTACATCTTCATTTCTTCCTCTGGCACTTCTTGAAGTGTAGTGGAAGTCATTTGGCTTCTCTTCTTTCTCACATCTTTTATGATTGTCATCACTGATGTTCAGTGTTAGAGGCCGTCTCCTGGAGGATAAAATTACAATGCAGACACTGAAAGCCATCTCATGTTGCAAAACAATATTTAAGCCCAGTTTGTCTGAAAATTCCAGCTATTAAGAGATCCTTCTCAGTGCAGCTCTAATATTTACCAAACTCAGTCTGTGCTGCAGTCATCCTTTTTGGTATTATACTAACATACGCTCCCTAAGCATCACCTCTTATCCCAAGAGTGGCCTGTTCATCCTGGTGACGCTGCTGGCCTCTGCTGTCTGTCAGAGAGCACGAGACTCCTTCTGGGTTTCCTCTGGGTGAGAGGGGGGATTATCTGCTGCTTGAGTTCAGCTCCCCTGAGAGACACGACAGCAGGCTCACAGTGGAAGGACGTGGGATTTTCAGATATTACTTGAACTATGAATCATCATCAAGTCATTGTGTTTCTGATGCTGTCCTAATACACACATAACGGATTCCTGTGACATCTGGGATCAGTTTGTTTACCTGGTTAAAGAATCCTGACGTATTTTGGCACTCTGAGGGTAAAATATTATGATGGAATTTTTGTTTTAAAAAGATTTATAAAAATGCAAAAATACATTTACTCAAGTACTTACGACTTACAACATTTCAGAGGGGGATAATGTACTTTCATCACTACATTTATTTGTGAGCTTTTGGGTTTATTATTTATTTAAATCTGGTTATTCAGATGTTATGTCAAATGCACAGCTAAAGGTTAAACCCGAGGTTAGCAACCTTTTTTGTTTTGCTTGTGATCCCTCACAGAAAAGCAATGTATAGCTGGGACCCTGTCACCCATCAGATGTCCATGAATATCTTAACTTGTCAGATGTTTTTATTTTTAAGAGGTAAAATTACCCTTTTTTTCCTGAAAAAACATTAGCAAAATGTCAAGAAAAATATAAACAAATGTGTGTTCCAAAATGCTTTTTCTTCATCTCTACTTCATGAATCATCTCACGACTCCTCAGATTTATGTAGCGATGCTTTGAAGGAGAACCAATCTGTAGGTTGAGAACCACTAGAATAAACTACTGAAGTGTTGCCTGTAAAATAGTTCAAACTAGCTCCAGCCCCACCGGCTACAACATTAGAATGCTACTTATGGATTTTATCATGTATCAGGTATATTTCTACATCAGAATTACCAACCTAATGATGTCATGTATGATGATATATCAGTCACAGGGGCCATTTTTCTGCAAAACTAGGCCAGTACTTTTGACACTTTAAGTATTATTGGGATTTGGAATGCAAGACTTTTACTTGGTAAATTGGAAAACAACACTACAGTATAACCTAGTTATAAATAATAACTCCTTGTAGCTCAAAGTGTTGACTCAGCTGTGTGGTTATTTTTGTGTGTACACATTACGTGATTGCATTCTGCATATTAGGCTAAAAAAGAATTACTTTTCTTGTGTCTTTGAATGTCAGTGATCCCATTTAAAGGAATACTTCACCCCCCATATGACATTTTGTTTATTTGTTACTCACCCCTGTGTTAAGTTGAATTTGTGATGGAATCTTTTTTTTTTTTTTGCATGCCTCTGGTGAACAAAAAATCCAAAAATTGAGACAATTCTTCATGAATAGAAGTAAATGGGGTCTGTATTAACAACAGGAAAACTATATAAAAAATCAGTTTACAAACTCTGACACTCGCTCAGTATGACCCAGTCTCATTTATCTACATATATGCTCAGTACTTCCCAAACAGACAACCCTTTTCTGACAGCGAACTGAACTAAAAGCTAAATTTATATATGCTTGTCAATGCCAATCTACATTGAAAAAAAAACAACAACGTAATTTTACCTTGCTGAACATGAGAGCTACTGTTCTACCTGCTTCAACCAAACTAACCCAATCACTCAGTAATACAAACTAACAACAGATCAAGGCAGCAGTAGCTCCGTCCTTAGCTGGGTAAAATTACTGTTTTGTCAAGACAGGGTGTGTTCCAAATTGCATACGTTTTACTTTTAGTAGGGTACAGCAGCTGCCCTTACAAAGTGCATACTGTTGCATGCAGTATGCGCACAATCAGGACATACTGCCTCTTTATAACATTAAGCCCTGAACTTTGACCCTTGGACCTCGGAGATGAAACAAAACACCATTCACTAAGCTCTGCTGTTGTTATCGTTCTAAGCTATAGCTCCATACACGGTAGATTCTAACATACTGTATTAAATTCACATTACATAGGCTATGTATTACTCTGTCATTGTTATTAATACCTATGCCCTTTTTGTTGGTTATATTGACAGCTATTTTGTTCAATTAAGCAATCAATATTCCTATTATTACTATTCGACTGGTCACTTTAATGCGCTGTCATCCATAATTGACAGTTCTTCTGACAGATTTCAACGAGCTGCCAATCAGCTGTCGATGAGCTGTCATCTGTCTACAGTTCAGCCAATGTGACAAATCTTCCACTGCACAGAGTATTGTGGGTCAGAGTAGCCAGAAAAGCATACTGGCTTGCATACAACGAAATCTGACCGGGTGTAGTAGAACATCCTGGTATTTTTGGCATACTACATTTGACATACTATGTATTGGGACATAGTAAATCTTTCTGGCATACTGTATAGTGTGGTAATATGGGTATCAGAATGCACAGAGTCTGGCTTTGAAGAGAGCATTATATGTATCACTTTAGTTGAGTTCCTCTTGGAAAGGGCTGTCCGTTTGGGATATAGCGTATTGAGTGTATGGCCGGATAAATGAGGCTTCAAGTATGAGTTGTGTGATAGTTTTTAAATGGATGTTTTGATATAGTTCTGCTGTTGTTTAATGTGGACCCCTATGACTTCAGTTCATCAAGAAATGTCTCTGTTTTTGGATTCTGCTTCACCAGCATGTAAGGAAAACTATTTTTTCTTCCTGAATTCAGTGTAACAAGGGGTGAGCAATTGATATACAAATGGTCATTTGGGGGCTGAAGCATTCCTTTAAACTTCATATTTTCAATCCAGAGAGCTGAAGGGACCCGGACCCTCCAACAGATGGTGCTGATCTCTCTCTTCTCATCAAGAGTTGGGTGATAATTCAACAGTTATGTCATTAGGTGTACCGCTACCTCAGGAAGGAAAGCTGTCATCACCGTTATGTCCACTGCTGCAGACCTGTCCTCTGCAGCTCTCACAGTATCTCCCCATCACACCTTGTTAGTCTAATTTTTTATTTTCTTTTTGAGAAGTGCTTTCACCCGCATCTTTCAGTTCATGTATTTCAATAGGTCACTGGCCAGTTGTCACTTTGCTCGCAGCCTCTTATCTGCGTAGGCTGACAAAAAAAAAAAAAACACCCACCCATACCTCCAAGATGCACCTGAATAGGTGAGGGGGGGGGCAACCGACACACAGGGAGACATCACCCGGGCTTCCAAAAGAGCGCGTCTTTCTCTCCGGGTGTCCACTCCTTCTCGGCATATCACCCTCCGATGCAATTAACCCAGAAAGACGACTTTGTCAAGGGGGACCCAACGCCGACCAACGCAGCTCTCCAATCCGACGGCAGCGCCGGATCTCCGGCCAAAATGTGCAGTGAATGTTACGTGAATCAGACATTTGTGCACGATGATGGGACCGTGAACGACCACAAGCCACGGTAAGAGAGACCAGCAGCAACACACTGGAACAAGTAAGGAGGCAAACTTTATGTAACATATAGTGATGGATAACTTAGTGCTTTTATTATCACTCCTCACATTTGTTGGTTAAAAACTGAAAAGTGCCAAATATTTTTGTATTTTATGACGTGTTTATTCAGTTAGTTGTGGTGTGGTGCGTAAAAATGCTGATTTTAGTTTGTGTTTTTCCAGAGCTCCATCCATACACTGTGTGCTCATGTACTCCTGTCACCACTGCTGTGTGTTCAGCTGTTCACTGGCTTGCTCCCTGTCTGTCATCCAGTGTTGCAGCCTGAATATTATCTCCTGCAAATATGGTTGCGTGACTTAAACTAGTTGCAAACACATATTGAATATTATTGTATTGTATTGGACTCTGCATCTGTGTGTCTTCCTTGGAACATTTGTGTTTTTTCTGGACAAAAAAAAAAACATGTTAAAATTTAAAGTCCCAAAGAAGACAAACAGATGGGTTGTTAAATGACACAGGAGCTCAAACCATAAAACCTCTCACTCAACATGTTTCTCTGTTCTGTTCACTCGGATGCCTGAGATGACCTGTAAGCTCCAGAGTGTTATGAGTGTTTTATGAGACTGCTGCACTTTGCCTTTGGGCTTTGTTTGGTTTAGTTTGATGAATGGATTTTACCAAACCACATGGGAAATATACCCTTCATCTTTTATGCAATAAGTTTGACAAGCCTAATGGATGATAGCAAACAGACAGACATGGTGAAGGAGAGATGGAAAAGACAGGGCTTTGCTACGCTCCCTCTGTGTACATCGTGTAAGTTTATCTGCCTCTTTAGTGATCTGTTTAGGAGAGACTGAAAAACAGCACCTGTCGTTATCCAAGATGATTTCACACCAAAGCACTTACACTTTATTTGAATCATAAAATACATCTGTTACATCTCCATCTCCGACTGTGATGAGTAACCAAGGAGGTAATGTGCAAAAACTTCCAGCAACTGAAGCTTGAAATGTCTCAAAAATACCCATCCATGCAGCACACTCTGATATCAATAGAGTGGAAAATATTAAATTTATCCATTCACTCCACTCTTGGGTTTCTAATTCATCTCATTCCTTTGACTGACCAACATCAGTTCACCTTCACACACAAAGGTAACATCCCACTACACTGTCCTCCACCTGTGCATGTTACTGGGGCTCTCTGGCTGTGGTTGAATAAGAACTGGAGGAGGTGACTCAACATCTGCAGTCATTAACGTAACTGTAGAAACCGTGTTCATCATCCGGCTAATCAGTTTCTATTTCTTCACTTTTTATGATTTCGCATCAAAATTGATCTGAAAATACTATTTAAAGGGACAGTTCACCCCAAAATCAGAAATACATATTTGTCCTCTTACCTGTAGTGTTGTTTATCAGTCTAGATTGTTTTGGTGTGAGTTGCTGAGTGTTGGAAATAACGGCTGTAGAGATGTCTGCCTGTTCTCCAGTATTATGGAACTAGATGGCACTCAGCTTGTGGTGCTCAAAGCACCAAAAAATACATTAGATAAACTCAACAGCCATGTCTCTTTCCAGATACCATGACCCGGTTACTCAGTATAATCTACAAACCTTGTTGCGAACAGTTCCATGTAGGAACTATTTTCTTTCTACTGAACTACACCCACCAACCATATCACTGCGCAGGAAGAAGCATACATCTAATCATAGACGAGATGTAAACATTAATGTTGTCCCTCTCGGCTGAGCTGTAAGGTCAGTGGTGCTAGGTGAGCTAGCAGTAGATGCATGCATCTTTCTCTGCAGTGATGCAGTTAGTGGGTGTGATTTGGCAGAAATAAAATAGTTCCTGCATGAAACTGCTCACAACAAGGTCTGTGGATTATCTTGAGTAACCGGGTCATGATTTTCTGGAAAGGGACGTTGCTTTGAGTTTTTCAAATGTATTTATTTATCTTTTGGCGCTTTCTGCACCACAAGCTGAATGCCATTGGGTTCCATTATATTCAAGAGAACGCAAACATCTCTACGGCCGCTATCTCCAACACTCGAAAACCAAAACACCAAAACAATCTATACTGATGAACAAGGCAACAGGTAAGAGGAAAAATATGAATTTTTGATTTTTTTTGGGTGAACTGTCCCTTTAAATAGAGTGTCTCTTTCCATATCAGAGAAATACTGTATACATACAGAATTAGTCTAAACAAACAATATGCATGTTTCTGTTAATAAAAGTCGTAGACTGTACATAATTGTAAGACTCTGTTCACTCTACTTTCATCTAACTGTACCTGAGCATCTTACCTTTACTAGAATTCATGTAATCTTCTGTGCATTGTGCTTCAATGGGCACAAATGTATGCTTACAGCAGTACAGTGTAGCTGCATCTTATACCTGCGTCTGCAGGGTAGTAAAGCAGATAGCAGTTGCATGTTACTTTAGATGAACATATGACGGATCCTTCTGCTTTTTATTGTCTGTGTGACTTCAGGATGCTGTTTGAGCAGCTCATATTACAAAACAAGCTGCAAACAGATGGGTAAAGCCTAAAGCCTCAGGCTAATTATATGGGTAGTCACCAGAGCTCAGTGTGAAGGCTTTTATCAGTTTGTGACAGTATCTCTTTTCTTTCCTATTTTCTCTAACCCTTACTTTTCTGCATTCCCGAATCAGTCCACCACCTGATCTTTTCCATCCCATCCTTCCTCTCCGTGATTCCGCTCCTTCTCCCTGTGTTCCCTTTTCCTTTTCAGCATTGCCTGTCCTTCCAGCTCCTGTCACTTTGGCACTTCTTCTCCTTTTCTCCCTTCATTTCCCTTCTGCTTCTTTACTTTTCTCCTCTCCCTCCTCCAGCTCCTCTCCAGCACCACTCAAGACTAACAGCAACAGCAGCGGGGTTATCTTAGACATCTCCACTCTTAAGATGGAGCAGCTGGAGAGTGAGGAGGTGCCTCCACTGCCGCCCCGCTTCCGCTTCAGAGACCTGCTGCTCGGGGACCAGGGCTTCCAGAATGATGACAGGTAGGCAGCGGCGCAGATGGGAAGAAAAATGGTAACTCTCAGAAAGCAGGTTGAGAAGTGTTGTTTGACAGAATCAGAGGCAAAACCTCTGATTAATTCATTTATTTTTTTTTGGTGATGGTCAAAAGTGGAAAAAGTGACTATTTCAGCTACTTATTTATTACTTTTTGTTAAATGTTACTTAATAGCTGAAATATGATGGAGTGCAAAAAACAGCAGTCCATTGAACGGCCATTTGAGGCAGGCTCCAGAAGCAAGTTAATCCCTATCAATGCCTGGATATAAAGATGGAAAACACGTCTCCACTTCCTCCCACTGTATGAAGATGAAGCCAAAATATCCCTAATATGGCTGCTGCCATTTTGCATTGGTGACGTCATTTGGAGCCAGTAGCTGCGATCTTGAGTTCCCGCCCACACAACTGTCCAACCAATCACGCGCAGTGCCAGCACACCGATGGGCACACATAGCTGTCAATAATTAAAACCCTTTTTATAGCATCAAATAACTAATTAATTAATTAGTCATCAGAAAAACAAACGGTTGAGAATACCTCACTGTGATAAGAGTATACCTGAAATGATGGACACCATCTTTTTTTAATGTATGCTTTGATTTTTTTTAGTTCGGCCCATGTCCCATTCTCTAACATGGTGGAGGCAAGGTCTATGACCTATACTGCAGCCAGCCACAAAGGGGTGATTGAGATGTTTTGGCTTCACTTTTGGGGAGCTGTTATATCGTCCATCTCTATATACAGTCTGATCCCCATAGAATCCCATGTTAAAGGTCTAGTGTGTGGGATTTGGTGGCATCTAGTGGTGAGGTTGCAGACTGCAACCAACTGAAACTTCTCCCATATGTCAAGTGTGTATGAGAATATGGTAGTCGATGCGAAAACGCAAATGGCCCTATCTGGAGCTAATATTTGTTTTGTCCATTCTTGGCCACTGTAGAAATTTATAGCACTCCCCCATTAAAATATGGTCCCTTTTGGCTCCAAAAACCAAGATGCTGATAGCTAAAATACCAAACTCAAGTCTGCAAAATGGAAGTCCACAAACCAATGGGTGACGTCACGGTGGTTGCGTCCATTATTCTTTATACAACCTATGGTTTTCATGCACTCTCAACATGTGGTGTTCAGGTGTTAAAGCTTGCCCAGTCAGTGGATGTTATTTTTTATTGAAATTTTAATTTAACTTCAAAGTAGTACAGCTACTTATAACCTTTCCACGTACCCTCAAGCAATTGCAGAACTACCCCCTGGGGTGCAGGTACCCCAAGTCGGTGATCACTGGTCAGTTGACAGTTAAAGAATTGGCAGCTACTTTAATAATCACTTCTTTGTTTAAGTAATTTCTAAAACAAAAAAAGTCAGATAGACTACACTTCTGAACTGGTTTTCTTGACCTTTTATGATAGTGAATGGAATCATTTGTGAGGTTTGGACTGTTGGTTGATCGAAACAAGACATTTAAAGACATCACCTCAGTATGTAGGGAATTGTGATTAGCATTTTTCACAATTTTCTGACAACTATGGACCAAAATGATTAATCAAGGTAAATAATTAATTTTTTACTAATAATAATGGTTGTTGGTTGCAGTTCTAAACCACATGATGAAAAAGGATTTGTAACTTTAAAACGACTGAATTGCAAATACGGCTGCGAAGAAGCAACATGTTAGGCTGTAAGCTGATTAGTCTTTGTCAAACAAATCTCTCTATCGTCAATTTGTCCATCATATTCATCGCTCTTCACTTCAAGTAGCAGCTGCTGTTCCTCTTCTGTGTTACTTTTTGTCCTCATTACTTCTGGCATATTAAAAAAAAACAACAAAACTTTTTTGACTGGTGGCAGAAACTATTTGACGCCATCACAGTTCTGTTAGTCATCTCGTGTTTCTCTAACCTATCAGAAGTTCTGACTGCCAGACCTCCTTTCCTTTTTTTTTTTTTTTTTTACAGCTGACAAATACTTGAACTAGCATTCAACCCCACTTGACCCACGTTTGTGGCTGTGTTTGGACTCGTTACATCAGAGTCATTGTGCACGGAGTGGTTACCTTGTCTACCCCCTGCAGTCTTAACATACACAACAACATACACAAGTGCAGTCTGGAGTGCTCTCTCGCCCTGTAATATGGCGTAAGTGGTGTTTGTGGTTTTGGTTGTGTCAGCTTTGACAAAGGAAGTGAAGCCAGAAACAGGGAAGAGTATGGGGTGCTGTCCGTGGTGCTGAAAAGGAAGACACTTATGAATCACTGGGGTTTTTGAGATGGGAAGTAGGCTAGGTGTGTGCGTGTGTTTGAGACATTCCCCCAAGAATTTATTTGAAACTTGAAGAGAAAAAAAGTTTGCCTGGAAACATGTTTTTGCGACCTAGTTCACAATAAGAATTCAAAATGAGTTCTCACCACCAGTAGCTCTGTTATCTACCTGTCCTCATCCATACTCTCTCCTCTTTTACCCTCAGCTCTGTACTTTGCTGCGGCGTCTGAGCTTGACAGACAAGATCAGTAGCAGTCTTCTGTTTTTCTGAGTACTACCTCATTTGTTTTTGTCCTGAGACTCAAAACTGTGCTATGGCAAATATTTAAATCACTTCTTGTCTCTTTGTGTAAAACAAAGAGAGTCAAAAAATAGCTTCAAAAGGAAAAACATCTTCCTCTACTCTGTTATTGCAGTGGTTTTAAAGAGTGCTGGATTTGTTTAACAATCTCAAGCAGTTAGTTATATGTTCATATTTGCATTTCCTTAAGATATTTACCCAGCATGTAAGCTCAGGATCTGCCAGATGGACCTCAGGAGAGTGATGATCAAATGTAATTTTAGATGTGATTACAGCAGCAGCAAACCTTTGAGCCTGCAGTGCTGTTTGTAATATTTGACACGTCTATTTGATGAGGAAAAACAAGAAGCTCTGCCAAAGCTTTCAGTCAAGGGTGATCTTTCCCCAGCTGTCCTTGCAACAACCACTGTTTTCTCCTCGATACATTTTCAGATCCTATTTAGACAGTTATCATTTTTCTGCTCATCCCCCGCAAATGAACCCATCTCCTGTCCCGGGTGTTGCTGGAGGTGACCGATTTTCAGTGGTCAGCCTGCGGGCTTGTGTATCCGTGAACTCCCAAATGTCACTGGACACATCTTTCCAGGGGATCATCCATCACTCAAAGGTTCCTTTCTAAAAAGCAGGCATGCATGAGAAGAAAGACACAAAAGCATGTGCACAATATTGTCAAGCTAACAGCCTTGTTTGAAGTGCTGTAGTCTTTCTCTCAGGCCCACTCCTTCATTTGTACATTCTCCTTTCATCTGTGCTTCTGCCTTCTGTCGCCTTCTGTCCAATTTACTTTGTTTATCACATTTCTTCCCATTTTAAATGTCCTCATTATTCACACCTAAGTGAGGTATTTCCGAGCTAAACTTAGCGATATATTAATGCATAAATGTAAATGTCACATATTTCACAGGCAGGAGTTATGGCATGAGGGTCTCGTCGTGCAACTTGGAAAGCTGCACTGAGTGGCGCCACCAGCGTGGGCGAAAGGGTGGGGGGGTTCAAGTGGAGTGGCCTCTTCCAGTATTTTCAAAAAGCACTGACTCACGGTGGAGGTCATCTATAAATTATTACTTCAGACTCTTCAAATTAAGAGAAGACAGAAAAGGTGGGAGGGATGGAAGGGATGCAGAGGAGAGAGGGAGACAGAGAGAGAACATTGTTCTTCATTTTCTTTTTGTCTGAATTTCTGCTCCAATCCAAATAAACATCTATCTTTCTGTTGCTGCATGTCACTTATGATGCCAAAAAACCTACTCATCAGCTGAGCACAGAGAGGGCTCTCCGCCTCCTGTTGCTTTCACTTGACAGATGAGCAAAACAGAAAAACAGAAAGACAGACAGTGCATGGCTTTGGGCTTTTTAAGTCATGAAGGCTTCAGATGACACATTTGAAACTTTACTATGTCGCTGTAAAACTGACATGCTGCAGCTGATGATGCCTGGTGCCATGTGTAAGAAGAAAAAAGAAAGGAAACAAATCAGTGTTTATCTGCAGCACATCAGAACATTCCTCCAGTATGTCACAGTGAATGTTTACAGCTTCATCAGGAGCTGCAGTGCTGCTGGGGAGGACCATGCTGCAACACATCATTTTAGGGTTATTCCTGTCATGGAAACGTTGCTGTGGCAACAGGCCCGCGCGCGAGAGAGAGAGAAAGGAGAGAGAGAGATTGTATACACTTCTAAAAATATTCCAATAAGCACTTCAGTCCTCAAAATAAATCACTAATCAAACAAAGCTTTGTCTTTGAATTCTTATTTTTTAAGCTCCTTGTTATCTGCGTGTTTGGATTTTTTTTTTTTCCTCTCTAAAAATAATTCATCCTCCGATAAACACAGTTAGTGCTGAGTTGTTTCAGAGCTGCGGGGAGGCGCGTTGGTCAAGGAGCTTACAGTGTAGGAATTAAGACTGACTGCACGACGCAGCCACAGGTGTCCTGCACGATGGATCCGAGGATCGTCATCCCCACCTGGGTCAATCCGTCCGTGGGCACCTGGAGATCGGATCCTTTTGGTAGTGACGCGGGGCAGAGGTAGGGCCACATGGAGTCTCAGAGGTGTGCATGGTGTCCTGGTGTCAGTGGAGTCGTGCTGGATGCGGTGAGGGTGTGAGAAGTTTGTGTTGTTGCCAGTTCTTATTTTACAACTAAGAGAAATTGCAATCGTGCGATGCATTTGAAGATGGACGAAACAAACAGCGTGCGCTCGCTCTGCCAATTTGATATGCGCGCCCAAAAACTGCTGAGATCCACAGAAATGCCTGCGTGTTTACTCATCTGTCCTTACCTGAGAGAAAGTCATTTTCAATCATGGTCACAACTGCTGTAATATAAATTAACGATTGTTATAATCGGTTCATTAATGTTCTAATCTTTTGGTTATTTAAGTGTCAGAATATTGAAAAATGCTCATCACGATTTCCAGGTAGGCTTATTGAACATGTTTGTTTTGTGCACCAACATTTCAAAGCCTAAAGATCTGTAATGTATTATCATATAACACTCAGAAAGGCAGGAAATATTCACACATGAGAAGACAACAAATGATTCTTTGGATTTTTTTGCAGAAGAAATGACTTTTTTTTTTTTTTTAATAGTTGTGACATCTGTTCAATTAATCGACTAGCCTAATTGTTTCAACTCTAATAAAAAGCGTTTGAGATTTGGGCTGCAATTAACAAATTTTTTCATTATCAGTTTGTCTGCATTTATTTAGTTAATTGATTAATAGTTTAGTCTATAAAATGTCATCTGATAGATGTTTATCACAGTTACTTAAATCCTAATGTGTCTCTTCCTATTGTTTATTTGACCAACCAGTAATCCATAACCTACAGGTGTACAATTCAGGGGGGACCCAGGGGACATGTCCACCACAATAAAAACATAAAAATAGGAGAGGACTTTTATTTTGACACAATTAAAGACATTTACACCATACACTGGTGCATTTAATTCACCAGAGTGCAGGAAATTAAGTGTTTGATGCTTGAAGTTTTCTGGCGGAGGACCACCAAATCCCCTGTTTCATACGTGTCCTCAATTAAGGCATAGAAAAACTGAAATTATTCCTATTTTAGAAGCTGCGCCCAGTGACTTTTCAGCATTTTTGCTTTAGAAATTTCATTACAAATTAACAGTTACTAAATAGTGCTTTTGTGTCAATCATCAAATCAATTAAAACCATTTCAGCTCCAATGTAAGCATTTGATATTAGGGCTGCAACTAACAATTATTAGGCTAATTGCTTGTTTTGTCCGACCAGCAGTCCAAAAACAAATATTATCACCCTCGTGTTCGGCAAAGAAAAGCATCAAATCCTCACAACTGAGAAGCTGAATTGAGGTAAAGAAGGACATTTATTTTAAATCAATTAACTTTCGGTTGCTCTACTTATTGATCAAATTGCTTCAGCCAAATTTGATAAAATGGAAAAAAAATATTTTCACTATCATAGTTAGACTCTGGTTTTATTGAACTTTTCATATTCAGAGCAACAGGTCTCTCTGGTGTTGATGAACACCTCGAGGTGAGCTGATCTGATAAATGCAGGCCCGTTCCAGGGCTGCAAGATGATGGCATTGCACAACTTTTGCAGAATTAGTCATTTTAAAAGAGCTAATCACTCCCAGAGCGCCTTATTGCCTGAAACTCCGATGTGACATTGCTGTATGACTAATGCCAGACCTCTTCTGTTAGTAATTGTGTGCTCAACAGGAGCTGATTGGGGGTCATTACTTGTACGATTATGTGCCTGTGTATGTGTGTGGGGGGGGGTCAGACACAGACAGAGAGCAGTCTGTAGGGCCCTCGTATGTGACAGTCAGCTCCCAGTTGAAGTGCCGTTACCTCCAGAGCCCATCTCTGCCCTGATGCTGGCCAGATGTGACAGCTGTTCTCAGATCTCATCACAGAGGACTTCTCTTTCTGTGTTATCGGTTTCATCTCTGGAGGGTTTTCTCCACTCTTTGGTGTAGTTTAGTCGTCGTGCAGACCTGAAATAGCTGTAGCGGGGTACACCGGAGGATGTCCAACAACCCACACTGCCTTTTCCTTCCCACTGTGAACCTTTCAGCCTCAAGCTGAAACTTGGGATTACTGCGGCAGCAGGATCACAGCCTCGCAAGCTTTCAACCTTCCTCAAATTCTTATAATCTCTTATGCTTGCACTCTGTCTTTTCATGTTCATCTGTCTGCACTCTCCTCAGCAGGCAGTACTGTGAAGATTATAATAGTGTAAAGATTTTCAGTGTGTTGCCAAGATACCTACTGAGTTAGGCTTATTCTCTCTGACTGGATCTCCTTCTGTGCTTTGCTCTGTTTTACAGATTAACATCCAACATGCTCTATTGTTTTGCAGTAGCACATTGCAAAAAGAAATTTTTCTTCACAAGAAAGACACTCCTGATGGCTCACGTAAAACCTGCCAAAAAGAATTTGAATGAAAACCTCATTTTACTTTTTTTTTTTTTAATCCAAACAGGGACGTTTGTGTCCATCTGTTTCACAGTTTATTCTAAAGTTGTATGAAAACAAAAAGGCTAAATTCTATTTTGCAATGTTTTTTTGTCTGTAACTTCTCACAATTGCACAAACAGTGATGGAGCATTGACAAGTTGTGATGTCATAGTTGGCCCTTTCATGCAGAGGATAATGTTGAAAATTAAAATTCAAGGGAAACAGAAATTCAAAGAGAAAAGGGCAAAGAAACTATTATAGTATTTTAGTACTCCAACAATTTTTCAATGTTAAAAGAGAAAGGGACAGACACAAAAGGAATTAGACTGGAAACTGAAAAGTAGTTTGAAAGTTTGAAAGAATAAATTATTAAAATATAAAATGATCATGTTGTTTTTGTCATTTTCATCCCTTCCTTTTTGCATTTGCCCTTTTTCGTTTTCCATTTATTACTTTTAGTTTATCTCTTCAGGCTGTATGTAAACATGGAGGTGTGGTCTGAAGTTGAACAGTTGTTATTTCACAATATCAACTTGTCATTTCAATATTAATGTTACTTTTTTCTGTTTTAATTTAATTATGGCCTGATTATTATTATTACTCTCATAATAATACATGTATACCCATTTTCTCATCTGATTTCCCATGTTTCCTTTTAATTATTATTTCAGGTGAAATTATCCTCCATGTACTGTAACAGCTGCTCTTTGGCTCCTTTGGTTAAACTGCATGACCTGGAGTAACCCACTCTAGCAATTGGGAAACAAAATCAGAGACAGATAATTACCAAACTCGCCTTGGGCAGATAATTAGAAAAACAACATGATGAATATTCATGCTGTGCAAAATGTCATACTTTAAAAACTGTTTGGAAAAACATCTGCGTAGCTCTTTCTGCTTGTGCTGCTGATCTTCATGTGACAGTCCCTCTCCTTCTGTTCTCCGTTAGGGTGCAGGTGGAGTTTTACGTGAATGAAAACACCTTCAAGGAGCGTCTGAAGTTGTTCTTCATCAAAAACCAAAGATCAAGTAAGTAACTGGCTGTTGCATAATTAAAAGGGTGCATTAAAGCACCACACAATGAAAGCAATACTGACAAATGTGTGCCTAATGAGACCCCGATGCATATAGAAAAACGAGTTTCTTTCATAGCAACCCCAACAGATTTAAAGAAAATTACCACTGTGCCACTGGAAATACAGCAATGTTGCTTATGAGTCACAGTAAATACCTTATTTCTGCACTGTTTGGAGCCAGTATTTGCTTGGAAAATGGGTCCCTTTCTCCCCTTTAGGCCTTCGGATTCGTGTGTTTAACTTCTCCCTGAAGCTGCTCACCTGTCTGCTGTACATCATCCGAGTTGTGACAGACAACCCGGGTCAGGGCACCAGCACCAGCGCCAGCGCCAGTCACAGCGTAGGACAGCAAAACGCTCCCAGCGGCAACAACAAATGGTTTGTCCATTGTCTACAGAAGCATTGACGTACAGTAGAAATAATAGATTATCAAAAGAGATAAAACATTGAAACAATGGCAATAAAATGCCAACAAAGAGCAAAAATTCAGTTTTTAGCTTTAGACTGGCGAAGGTTAAGATTTATAGATGGATAGATGTAAATGATGGATGTAAAACCTAAGGAAAGACTCTGCATGAAGTGCATCAGTAAAAATAACTTCACTGCCCACATTCATTAACTTTTCATTCTTTTTTGTTCATCATTATTCTGCAGTGTCGACTGCCTGTCAAGCGGCTCATTTCAGGACAGAGAAATTAACTGGTGAGCAGCAGAAGATGTGATTTCTGTTAATGGGGTCAGATTAGTAGAAATGTATCATGTGGCTTTATATAAGAGCAACAGTCTGTGTGTGCGCTTTCAATGTTGGACATGTTAATTGGACAGACTGTCATATCCTACTTGTTTTTCCTCTTACCTGTAGTGCTATTTATCAGTCAAGATTATTTTGGCGTGATTGCTTAGTACTGGAGATACCAGCCGTAGAGATGTCTGCTTTCTCTCTAACATAATGGAACTAGATGACACTCGGCCTCTGGTGCTCAAAGCACCAAAGAAATTCATTTGGAAAACTCAGAAGCAATGTTACTGTCCAGAAATCATGACCTGGTTACTCAAAACAATCCGCAGACCTTGTTGTGATCAGTTTCACGTAAGCACTATTTTCTTTTTACCGAATTACACTTATTAACAATATCACTGTGCAGAAGGAAGCATGCATCTACTCATGGGTGAGAGGCTTGTGCACGGGATGACGCGAGATGTAAACATAAATGATGTCCTCCTAGTTAGAGCTGTAACGTTAGCTAGCTCAGTGGGGCTAGGTGAGCTAGCAGTAGATGCACACTTCCCTCTGTGCAGTGATACAGTTGGTGGGTGTAGTTTGGTAGAAAGAAAATAGTTCCTACATGAATCTGCTCACAACAAGATCTGTGGATTATCTTGAGTAACCAGGTCGTGATTTCTGGAAAGAGACATTGCTGTTGAGTTTTTTTAAGTGTATTTTTTTCCGCTTTGAGCACCACAAGCAGAGTGCCATCTAGTTCCATTATATTGGAGAGAAGGCAGACATCTCTACAGCTGATATCTCCAACACTCAGCAACTCACACCAAAACAATCTAGACTGATAAACAGCACTACAGGTAAGAGGAAAAATAAGTATTTTTGGTTTTGTTGAGAACTATCCCTTTAAAACCCATCTAAAAATATAATACCTGACAGCATCTACAAGTCTTGCTTTGACTATATTTCGCTCTCACTGATGGTATTTAAACAGATAATAATGCTTTGAAGACTGTTAATAAAAGAGTTGCCATTGCATGCTCTGTCTGACAGGGAGTTGATCTTCTGGGTGGATAGAAAAGTTCCTGTCTGGGCCATTCAAGTGAGTCACAACAGAACATGTACAGAGAAAAATTATGTTTAAGTTAAACAAGCAAATCTTTGTATATGAACACAGATGCCTTATCTAAACCACAGATGCTTGATCATCTAAATGAATATGAAATGCAGCATTACTTCTGAAATGGTCATTATGCTGTAAATAATTTATGATCTTGTGTTCATTATTTCCTCTTTTGGTTTGTTCAGGTGATTGTGGCCATCATTAGTTTCCTGGAGACTATGTTACTGATGTATCTGAGCTACAAGGTAACACAGACACAGACACACACACACACACACACACACACATACAATAAATATACAGACACGTCAAGCACATCAGTAATACAGTCTGTGCAATTAGTCACTTACAGTCTGTGAGATTGACAATCCATAAGTGGTGTAATTAGCCCAAGTCATTTGTCACGGCTACATTAAGGATAGACGGTAATTACAGGATCTGGTTGAGGTGAAGGATTAAGTGGTCGTGGAAAGTGACAGACTAAAATTAAGATCTGCATCTCTGCAGTGACTCACTGTCTATTGTGTGCTTACAGGTAAAACTGTACAAAATAAAATAAGTCTGCGTGTTTTTCAGGGGAATATTTGGGAGCAGATATTCCAGGTGTCCTTTCTTCTGGAGATGATCAACACAGTTCCCTTCATCATTACGGTAAAGCTTTTACCTGAAGTACTCATTATCTCTCCTATCTCCCACCTCTAAACCACATGCTTTTAACTTTAAGTCTATTTTGTCCTTTAATGCATAGTATTTTACAATGTTAGCCTCCAGAATAGAGGAAATAAGAATTATTGTGAGTCATATTCAGATATACACTGAAAAATGAAGTATGAACATTTAGATAGCTAGAAACTAAAAACTGTACCTCTGCATCTCAGCTGTTACGTGTGTTAAGTTTTATAATTATTTTACAAGTGAAAATTCCATGCTAATATACTCATTTCCCATTAGTGTGGAGTTTTTAGCCATGTTAAGTGCTAATAAACTTAAAAAAAACAACAACATGCTAACACGCTAAATTAAGGTGGTAAACATGGTGAATTTTACCTGCTAATCATCAGCATGTAGCATCGCCACTGTCAGCATGTTACGTTAGCATGCTGGCATTAGCATTTAGCTTGAAGTAGCACAAAGAGTTGCTAGCTTAGCTGTACTGACTGGTTTTTATGTTCGTACTGTACAGTGTTAGCCTTTGAGAATTACAGCTAACAAAGCAGGCCTACTGTAAGTCAGACTAAGTTACATGAACATGAGTTACATGAACACAGAGAATTGAATGATACGCATATAAATGGTTTGAAACGGCAGACTACACAACATTTTGGGTGTTAAAATGTTAAATATTAGGAACAGGTTGTCAATGACAGGTGACGCATTTAAAGGTCCAGTGTGTAGGATTTAGGGGGATATATTGGCAGAAATGGAATATTATATAATATTTATGTTTTGTTTAGTGTATAATCACCTGAAAATAAAAATCATTGTGTTTCCGTTATCTTAGAGTGAGCTGTGTATATCTACATAGGGAGTGGTTCTTGTCCATGGTGGCTACCATGTTTCTACAGTAGCCCAGAACGGACAAACCAATCACCGGCTCAAGATAGGGCCATTCACATTTTTGCGTAGGCCACCATAGTTAGCAGCCCCTCAGCAACCAGAGTGTCGGAAAAACATTGATTTTGTTTGCGAAGCTGCTTTATTAAGTGTTTTTACCATTTTAATCACCAGGTCTGTTTGTTTTAGAGCGAAAGAGACGTCTGTGGATAATTCAGCTCCCGGTAAAAACCCCTTCAATGTCTGGATCTTAAGTTACCAGAGGAAAAAAATTGTGCTCGTGGCCCATCTCCAACAATAAGAAACACTGATTTGTAATGTGAAACAACGTTATTCACTGTTTTTACTGTTTTAAATCAACGGTTCCATTTGTTTTGCATGATTTGGCTCCTGGTAAAAACCTCCAGAACGTCTAGATCACAGATAAGGTGAGCACACATTAAGTTAATCGAGGAAAATGTTGCGCAAACATTAGCAGATCAGCGTAGGAGAAACACTAATTTGTAACCTGAAACTACTTTATTCAGAATTTTAACAAGTTTTAATCCATTTGTTTTGGAGAGGAGGAGACCTTTGCAGATAATTCAGCTCCTGGTAAAAACCTCTTGACCAATGAACACTGAAAGAATTCTAGCCGGGGGAAGTTTCAGCTGGTTGCGATCTGCAATCCTCACTGCTAGATGCCTCTCAGTCCCCCTTACTCTTACTCACTGAACCTTTCAGCCACAACGCCGAACTGATGACCAGTTTTTTATGTGTGATTGACACGCTTGAAGAAACGCTAAAATGAAACTGTTTTATCTATCAGTGAAAGTTGAAATGTCTCACTTCAGATCTTCTGGCCGTCTATACGAAACATCTTCATTCCCGTGTTTCTCAACTGCTGGCTGGCCAAGTGTGCTTTGGAGAACATGATTGTGAGTGAAAAGCATTAACGTAATTGTTTCTGTTAATGACTCGTTTATAATCAACATTTTAATGACTTTGTTAAGTCATTAAGTCATTAAAATGTTAGTTCACTTTATTTCTTCATGCTCACAGTCGTACTGCGGCTGCTGTTGACAACAACGAATCCCTCTCCTCATTTGGTTCTGCTCTGATTGTGCGCACCCTGCAGGTTTTTTCCCACTTGGGATGTTTTTTTTGCAGTCTTCTCTAGATTTTATAATGTTGTCCTGCATTTCATGCTGCTCAGCTGTATTGCTGAAGCAGGAAGCATCCAAGAGCAGAACCATAATGTCATCTCTATTTGCAATAAATTTCAAAACTAATTGTGTGAGTGATTCCAGACAGAACCAGCATCAGTGAGATGCCAGTGGATGTCTGTCTTTTATATAAGCAGGGTTGAGTTTCTAGCTTCAAATGTTAAAGTATGCTGTTGTTATTGTGTAGAATGATGTCCACAGAGCAATCCAGAGGACCAACTCAGCCATGTTCAACCAGGTCCTCATTCTCATCTGCACCCTGCTCTGCCTGGTCTTCACTGGGTGAGACTTCAATACAATTTATTTATTCATTTCATCTCTGTGGTGGTGGTCCTCTTGTATATAAATGTTATATCTGTATTAACACCTTTAACAAGAAATGTTTATTAAGAAATATTTTAAGCCTTTGTATTATGTTGCATAACACTGGGGGTAATTTTACGATGGTGTACATATATGTGATAGTGTATAACTTGCCATCAGATAGTGACTAGCCAGTCGCAGCATCATGAAAGTAGGGGTGGTGGAAAAAATTGATACAGATATAGTACCGCAATATTTTGCATGGCAAAATTGTGTCAATACACAGACACCAACATTTTTTTTATATCATAAATTATTAATATTGCAAATCCAAATGTAACTTTTGGTAGCCTACTAGAACAACATACTATTGCTGTTTCAGTCCACTACACATTTTGTTGCAATTAAAATGACTGAAGTGAGATGACCAGACTGAAAACTTTATAAAAAACAGATAAAACAGATTATTCCTTTGAGGACATAATGCACGATAAGAAAGGTAACAAATCATAATATATAATAATATAGTTTATTGAAATTTTCAGTATATCACAATTTTTTACAACCGCAATAATATTGTGTTGTGGCTTCAGTATTGCGATATTATCCTATCGTAGAGTAGCGTATTGTACCGTACCGTACTGTACTGTACCGTACCGTATCGTATCGCATCGTATCATATCATATCGTATCGTATCAGAACCTTGGCTGATTCGTGTCCCTACATAAAAGCAACAAGAAAAACTGGTAATGAGATAAGGAAACGGTGGTGACACTTCAATTTTCGGGTCCATAAATTCCTAATAATTTCAATGAAGTTTCTTTGAAAGAAAGAATTGCCTAATTTGGTGCTAATTAAATAGAAAACAGAGACAGTGCACTTCCAATTAATTCTAAAGGCTAAGCCAGCGTATGCTTGAGATTTACGTTTAGTTCACTGGAGGTTAGCTGGACATGAAAAAATGCTAAACAATTTCCTCAGGCAAATTTATTTTTTATTTAATTTAATTTAATTTATTTTGGTTTAAAAGGAAGAGCTCTTTAAAGGAAATTCCTCTAAAAAAAATCAATGATAAACCCAACACAACAAAGTGAACGTACTGATATGACAATCTCAGAACATTGTCTTTAATTTCCCTGCATAAATTACAAAGTTCTTTTTAGGAAACTTTTGAGAATTTATCAGTAGAATAAAAGGAAATTTAGAGGAATTTAAAGGGAATAAGTGCAATCCAAAAACAGGAAAATTAGAGCTGAGAATAAAATAAACTAGCAAAAGATACAAATAACAAAAAGGAACCAAGATTTAATTTACTTTTTCAAGTAATCATTTCATTTTTTACCAACTGACTGGACGTTAAGTATAAATTGTTTAATTTAATTATAAACAATTAAATTATTGAAATATTCCATTTTACTTTTGACTCATGAGATAGCCTGTTACTGCTTTATGTGAATGGTTCATGATGGTCATAAATGCTGGCAGTGTGTTTGTTTGCATACATGGTTTATCTGATCTGCTCTACACAGCACATGTGGAATCCAGCACCTAGAGCGAGCAGGCAAAAACCTCTCCCTCTTCAATTCCTTCTACTTCTGCATCGTCACATTCTCCACTGTGGGCTTTGGAGATGTCACTCCCCGCATATGGCCCTCACAGCTACTGGTGGTCATCATGATCTGTGTGGCTCTGGTTGTGCTGCCTCTGCAGGTAGGAAGCTGCTGAAATAATCTCTGCTAACTTTCAAATGTTGTGAGTTGTAGTTGGAATCAGCTTGTGTGTGTGTGTGTCAGTTTGAGGAGCTGATGTACCTGTGGATGGAGAGACAGAAGTCTGGGGGGAATTACAGTCGACACAGAGCGCAGACAGAGAAACATGTAGTGCTGTGTGTCAGCTCACTAAAGATAGATCTGCTCATGGATTTTCTCAATGAATTCTACGCCCATCCCAGACTGCAGGTACAACACAACACAAAGTAATGCATTTTTATTCCACAGTACTCAAACAATCTGTGATAATGGTCTGCATGGTGTGTTTCTAAGGATGTTTACAAGGAAAATACTTGTGATTCAAATAAGACAGTAACTGCTACATTAACATCATCTACATGTTTCCTCATGCATTCCACAGTAGATGCTAAAGTGGTTGTTGTGTAATCCCAAGGACTATTACGTGGTGATCCTGTGCCCGACTGAAATGGACCTTCAGGTGCGAAGAGTGCTGCAGATCCCTCTGTGGTCTCAGAGGGTCATCTATCTGCAAGGATCTGTTCTCAAAGACCAGGACCTGCTTAGAGCCAAGTAAGTGATACACCAGCAGGTCAAAGGTTACACTTATCCAGCTTCAGTCAGGGACACTCTAGTTTTAGATGTAAACATTTATTGAAACAAATGGAAACACAGTTATGCTTGGGGCTGATGGCTTCCCAGATTAGACAAGAAGCACGCTAACAGGGAGCGCAATGCGAAAACCCCCTTGGGTATACAGGAGAGGGCCCAGTGTAAGACATTAAATACCATTTTGACCTTTGAACCATGTTAGGACTCTAAATTAAAAAGGCAGAGGCTTGGGTGGTGGAGGCAAAGCTTTGCCAGCAGCAGCAGTGGTGAGGGTGGCAGCACTGGTGTAGCAGGGATCAGTGAGTAGGTGGTCATAATTAAATGTTGTGAGGATGGCCTGTGACTGGTGTGTGACTTTTTAGAAAGAGTGAGTCAATCAGCGACGTGTCAGCTGATTACAGCTGGGGTGTATGACTTCTGTCCTGCGCAATGCTTCAATTAAAAATATCTCAATATCTTCTGGACAAATATTGTGTATAGACATTTAATGTTTCCAGAAAATGTACCCTCCCCTTTTTGAAGCCAGGAGTGTATCTATATATATATGCATAACTATACATCGATCTGCATACACATGCATGTGCATATACAGATACAACCCTGGCAAGAAAATTATGAATAAAAAAATAACAGAAAGAAATAGAAATGAAGGAAAAAAAAGAGAACAGTGAATATCTACGAAATTTGACAGTGAAAAATGAAAAGTGGGGAAAAAATCAAATTCAAAGGATATTGGGTTATTTCCAAGAACATTTTACTCTTCATGTAACTTCACACCAAAGTGAGAGCTTTTTCGGGAGCCACATGTGATCAAATTTAGGAGCTCTTTCTCTCAGGTAATACTTTTCTAACATCATAAAACCCAATACATCCTGAATCTAGCTAGTGTGAGAGGTGGGCGGGATATTCCACTGAAGCAATATCACACATCTTGCAGTAAAGGTTCAGGCAAGAAATAAGATCTAATTTGTATCTAGGTGCAGTAGTTGCCTCAAGGAGGATCCCAACGAGAGCAGTGATTGATTATATATAGATTGGAAATCTCACCACCTCGACAACTGATTCAAAAACAGACATCTAATACAGAGTTATGGAAGGGCAGGATCACAACATATGGTAAAGGTCCGCCTGGCCATGATGGCATCGGTTACATATAGGGTCAACTCGTGTACCAGTATGCCCTGTGTGCTAGTTTGCATTGCATCATTGATTCACTGAAGCTCAAAGCACCGCCGTGCCTCGATTTATTCTTGTTGCTGATATGCTCATCTGATCACACAGATCTGTCTAAATGCTATAATTGCTCTAATTAAAGGTGAAAGGAATCATCTAATTTTGATATCTCCATCACAAACAGGCCTACTGGAGGGCTGATGAATGAACAGTGTCTGTATAATTTGTGGGGAGGAGGATCGGGTGTAAGATGTTTACTGAAGTGCATTATTGATTGGTATTCCTGATGCTTCGGGAAAATAAATTCATTGATTCCTTTGGTATTCAATCTGCAGCCTTGCAGCATGCACCTACAGTCGCTGCTAAGCTTTGTGTCAGATCAAACTGTCTATAGGGGATGCAGACCTTTTATATTTTACATTTTAGGTTAGGTAAAAATAATTGCTTCTAACCATCAGTAGGATGTGAACCTCTATTGTCCTTCCTTTCCTTAATGCTGCCCAAATATTCTCTCATTTCTCTCTCAGTAAATAGACTTGTCAGAGCTATTGTGTTGCCTCAAACTGAGACAACATTGTAATTATTCATTCAAGCTATACCCATTTCTTTTGAGACTCAGCTCTTAAATGGACCACTTTCTCTGTGGAGAGCAATCATGATCCGTCTCACATTCTTCAGATAATTTTGAGTCATGAAAGTGAAAATTTTAACGCTGATGAAAGGACTGAAAGACCTGCTGTCAATCTGTACGTCAAGTCTATTTTCGTAGCTTTAATTACATGCATGTCTCAAAGTACTTAACAGAGATACAGCCAAGCTTAAAGGGAAAATCCAAGTGATTTTACTCACTGAGGTCAGTTTACTCATCACAGTTCGTATTGTCTGTGGCTTCGGAGGAAGTTTCTTGAGTCTAAGAGAATACCCCTGTCACAAACACACAATGGTCCTGTGCAGCATTTGTACCATAATGTATGGAACCCCTAACACCAAACACTAAAGTATTGCTTTGTTGGAATTGGTTATGTAACTTCACTGTAAATATTCGGCAGAGTTGTGATAGAGCAATTAGAAGTAGAGGACTGGGTGTGTGTGTCGCGCTTACATCCTGCATCTGGCACCATTTCAAATCCTCCCACACTTGTTTTGCATTCTGCACTCTCCTGGTTGTGTTAATCATATGCAAAAACAGCTCCACACTTACAGCACATATACAGTGCAGAGCATTTCAGGTTGCTCTTTGCGTGTTTGTCTATATGCCGGTGACATTAAATTAAATATTAAATCATAGGATGTTGCTGTTGTTGTCTTCTGACTGGTCAAAGGTCATTTCATTGGCTGGCTCTTTTGTTTACGATTCTTTCCTGCTGTTTTGTATTTGAGTGATTTGCCTTTGTGTTTCATGCATTTTGAGTTTGTTTTGTCGGTTGTCAACTTGTCTCGTCGCTGCAGAATGGACGACGCAGAGGCTTGTTTCATTCTAAGCAGTCGTAACGAGGTGGATCGTATGGCTGCGGTAAGCAGAACAACAGTTAATGAACTCTCTGTGATAAGTCTTTACCTATTATGAGTTGTTTACAAAACTCAAGTCATTAATGCTGTCAGTCATGAAGAGAATTACCAATTAATAAAAGGAGATTACTTTGAAAATGCATTATCTTTGACTGTTTTCCCTCAGGACCATCAGACCATCCTGAGAGCCTGGGCGGTAAAGGACTTTGCTCCAAATTGTCCCCTTTATGTCCAGATACTCAAACCGGAAAATAAGTTCCATGTGAAGTTTGCAGGTGAGAGTTTCTAAACTGGCAGTGAAACGCTTATTCGCTTTCTGAGAGGAGAGGTAGATGAGAAAATTGATCCGACTCTTATGTCTGTCCGTTAAAGCAACCAGCAGTTCCCCTCAGCTGTATAGTCTTATGGCGTCTTTCAGTTTTCTCTTTTGTTCTATGCACTTTTCTATTCACTCTCATTGCTCTCATGGCGGCACTTTCGGCTGAATGACAAAGTTGGCGACTGGCTGGTGAACATAGCGGAGCACTTAGCAGGTGAAGAGCCAGATACTTCCCTCAGGAGCTGGTGGAGACACTTCAAAGGAGAGTGAATGTTGGACTTTCATTCATCAGGTGGCCGAAAAAACGACTTCAAATAAGTACCAATTTTGCTCTGTTTTTGCTGGATGTGTAAAAAGAGTTTGCTAAGAAGCTGCCGTATTAACTTTTTGTTGTTGTTTTTAAAGATTATTTTTTGTGCATTTCACTACTTTATTTGATAGTCAGGAAAAGCAGGGGAGAGTGGGGGGATGGCATGCACTAAACTGGATTTGAACCCAGGCTGCTGCAGTAAGGACTCAGCCTCAGTGGGTATGCACTGTACTCACTGAACTATTTGAGTACACTATGTGAATTTAAAAGCTGATAATAGATTAGTGTTGTGTTTATAGCTTGTTCCGCTGCCCTTAAGTTATCGAAAAGTTAGAAGGATTGAATATGATGCAATAGAGCTGGGAGTTAATTAGCTTAGCATAGCATATAGACTGTAAACAGGGGGAGACAGCTAGCCTGGCTCGGTTCAAACCTAAGAAAATCTGCCTACCAAAATCTCTAAAGCTCAGTAGTTTATATGTTTCAAATTCTTTGTTTAATCAATTTTAAAAACAAATGTTTAAACAACAAGTTGTGGTTTTCAGAAAATCTTTAAAAACACATAGGAGGTCTTTCCTTTAGTTAACACTCATATATTAGATATGATCAATATATCCCTATTAACAGGCTATGTACCACAGTCTTTTAAGGTAGCTGTAATTAAACCTCTCCTAAAAAAGCCCACCCTGGATCCAGAGGTGTTAGCCAACTATAGACCAATATCTAATCTTCCCTTTATGTCAAAGATCCTTGAGAAAGTAGTCGCAGACCAGCTGTGTGATTTTCTCCAGGATAATAATTTATTTGAGGAATTTCAGTCAGGATTTAGAGTGCATCATAGCACTG